ACTCTGTCTCAAAAAAAAAAAAAGATTCTACCACCTGGCCAGGGCCTGTGTGTGCCAACATGCGTTCTTGTGCCTACCTGGATGTCCCCTGGCCTCACACAATCATGAATCCTGCCCACAGGCCTGAACACTCACACAACCTACCTCCTTGTCCATAACCATTGCCCATGCCCAGCCCTCCTCTGCATGCATTTTTCAGATGCAGTCACGTACTGCCTAGCAACGTTTCAGTCAACCACAAACCAGGTATGTGACAGTGGCCCCTAAAATCATACCATATTTTTACTGCAGCTTTTCTATGTTTAGATACAAAAATACCATTGTGCTGCAATTGCCTCCAGTATTCAGTACAGTAACATGGCTTCAGGTGTGTAGACTAGAAGCAATAGGTTACCGTATAGCCAGGTGTGGAGTAGTGGATACCATCTGGGTATTGCCTAATGACACGCATTTGTCAGAACCTATCTCTGTCATTAAGCAACGCATGATGGTGCTTCCTTCTGCCTGTTTGGGTGATCTCTGCCACTTTCCTCCCATTGGCTTTGCCACTTGACAAAGGGGCATCTTCAGGGAGCATGTGTGGGCCCCAGGTCCCTGCATCCTTGCTGATCTTGATAATTCTGATCTGATGACTTTTCTGATCCAATAAGCCCTCAATATCCAGTTGTCCATTCTGGAATGTTAACAAGGTAGTGGTTGGAAGTGTGGGCTTGGCCCGGCGTGGTGGCTCATACCTGTAATCTCAACACTTTGGGAGGCTGAGATGGGAGGATTACTTGAGCCCAGTAGCTTAAGCCTGGGCTTAAGGCTGAGGTGGGAGGATTGCTTAAGCCCAGCCTGGCCAACGTGGCAAAACCCCGTCTCTAAAAAAATACAAAAATTAGCCAGGCGTAGTGGCATGCATCTGTGGCCCCAGGTACCCAGGAGGCTGAGGTGGGAGAATTACTTGAGCCAGGAAGGTCAAGACTGCAGTGAGCTGTGATCCCATCATTGTACTGCAGCCTGGGCAAGAGAGTGAGCCCCTGTCTCCAAAAAAAAAAAAAAAAAAAAAGAAGAAGAAGAAGAAAAGAAGTGTGGGC